TTGTGGGGCCACGGTCCACACTTCAGAACACACCACCTCTGTATTCCCTCGGAGACAAAATAAGGCCAGCGTACACCTGCTACTCACACCTGTTCCCACTGAGAGGTGGCCAGGAAGGAAGTCTGGGAACCCATGCTTGCGCCGAACTGCACCCCTGAACTTCGTCTGGGAAGGGTGCCGGAGTGCAGGCTGGAGCGTGGTCACAATGTCTTCGATGCCCAGCTTCCCGACCTCCAGCAAGACCACGCTACACACGGGCTGCATGACGTGCCGTGGAGCTGGGGGCCTGACGGGGGGCTGACAGTGCAGGCCGCAGGCGTCCTGTCGCCGAGACGGCTGGGGTCAGCCTTAAGCCCTGTCTCGCCACTCAAGGCTGTTCCTCACCACTCGGGTGAGTCTTCAGAAGGGAGGTTCACGCTCACAAAACTGATGGAGGTCGCACACCAGCCAAGAGGACACACGTGAATGATGATAGAATCAGGATCAACCACAGCAGGGCCAAGTCCTGGAACCCGAGTGCGACGGCCGTAACAGTGAAGACCTGAGACTGTGTTAACTAGTTGGGGGGCCTTGTTTGGGGAACATGCTGGAATGTTGGGTTTACATCTAGACCCCTATTTTTATTTTTATTCTTTGTTGCCTTTTTAAATTAAAATTTGAAAATTTTTTTCAATTACAGTTGACATTCATTATTATACTACTTCCAGGTGTATGACATGAGGATTAGACGTAAATGTAATTGACAGTGATGCCCCAGTAAGTGCAGGGCCCACCTGGCACCACACACCGCTGCTACGACATCATCGCCTCCATTTTCTGTGCCGCACTGCACACCTCGTGGCTGTTCCGTGACCGCCAATCTGCACTTCCTGCTCCCTTCCCCTTTTCACCCACCCCCAACCCCAATCTGGCAACCATCTCTTCGTTCTCTGTACCTATGAGTTTGTTTTGTTTGTTCATTTATGCTGTTCTTTAGATTCACACATGTGAAATATGGTAGCTGTCTTTCTCTGACTGATTTATTTCATGTAGCATACTGCCCTCAGGTCCATCTGTGCCGTCACAAACGGTAGGATTTCATTCTCTTTTACGGCCAAGTTGCATTCAGCTGTATTGTGAGTATGCACCAAGCCTTCTCTGCCCACCGCTCTCCTGATGGGCTGGCTCTTGGGTCTTCTTCCATTCAGCCATCCTATGTCTTTTGATTGGAGCATTTAATCTATCGACATTTAAAATGATTGTTGATAGGTATGTAGTTATTGCCACTTACTTATTTGTATTTTTATTTCTTCTTCCTCCTCTTCTTTTTCAAGAAGTCCCTTTGACATCTCCTGTACTGCTGGTCTGGTGGTGATGAGCTTCTGTAGCTTTATCTCATCTGGGAACTAGGCAAGTTTTCTAGGGCTCTGGGGGCTTTTTCATATGAGAGGGTTGGAACAACTTTGAGTTTAATCTAGAGACTGGAAGCTTTGGAGCTTACCTTTCCAACTAATGTCTTAAACCCTGTCTCATAAGATGGGTCCGACTCACTCTGTTTCACGCAAAGGAGACACCTGGGACTCAGGGGTGGAAGTTGTGGGAGCCACATTTCAATTCAAGGAAGAACTTTCTAACAGCCAAAACACCAGAAGGTTTAGTGGGAAGGGCATCCCCTGATAAAAGAAAGCCGTCTGAGCAGAGGCCAGGTGACCACTGCAGGTAGGGCCCTGCCCTGAATAGGGTGTGAGCCAGAGGACTCCTCCATCTGTCCTCACTCTCTGTGACATCTAAGTGTGTAAGTAAAATTAATTTTAAAGCACGCTTATAAAAATTCTGAGAAAGTCACAGGGCGGTTGTAGGAGAAGGGGAGTCAACACTTTAAAACAGGGATTTGGGTGTTGGGAGAGAGGGACGGCTACATGCGAAAAAAAAAAAAGAAACTTGACCACTAACTTACACCACACACAAAAATAAACTCAGGATGGATAAAAAACTTAAATATGTCCTGACACCATAAAAGTCCTAGAGGAGAACATAGGCAGGAAAACTTCATATTCCACACAGCAAATTTTCACCAATACGTCCCCTAGAGCAGGGGACATAAAGGAAAGAATAAACAAATGGGATCTCATCAAAATAAAAAGATTCTGCGTGGCTAAAGAAAACAGTATTAAAATAAAGAGAACCAACCGTATGTGAAAACATATTTGCCAATGATACCTCAGACAAAAGTTTGATCTGCAAAATATATAAAGAACTCACATAGCTCCACTCCAGGAAGACAAACAATCCAATTAAAAAATGGGCAAAGGACTTGAAAAGGCCCTTCTCTAAGGAGGACATACAAAGGGCCCAGGGATATATGAAAAGATGCTCAGCATCACTAGCCATCAGAGATGCAAATTAAAACTGCAGTGAGATACCATTTCATACCTGTCACAATGGCCATCATAAACAAATCAACAAACCACAAGTGCTGGAGAGGATGTGGAGAAAAGGGAACCCTAGTGCACTGTTGGTGGGAATGCAGACTGATGCAGCCACTGTCGAAAACAGTATGGAATTTCCTCAAAAAATTAAAAATAGAACTGCCTTTTGACCCAGCAATTCCACTGCTGGGATTATACCCTAAGAACCCTGAAACACCAATTCAAGAGAACCTATGCACCACAATGTTCACAGCAGCAGAATTTCCAATAGCCAAGTGCTGAAAACAGCCTAAGTGCCCATCAGTAAATGAGTGAATCAAAAAACTGTGGTGCATTTACACAATGGAATTCTACACAGCAGAAAGAAAGAAGGAGCTCCGACCCTTCACAACAGCATGGATGGAACTAGAGAGCATTATGCTGAGTGAAATAAGGCAGGTGGTAAAAGACAAATACTGTATGATCTCACCTATAAGTGGAACCTAATCAACAAAACAAACAAGCGAGCAAAACAGAACCAGAGACATGGAAATAAAGAACAAACTGACAGTGTCAGAGGGGAGGAGGAGGTGGATAATGGGGAAAGAAGGGGAAGGGCCAAGTCAAAGACCATGTATAAAGGACCTGTGGATAAAGACAACAGGGGAGGAGGGAGACTGAATGTGGGAGGTGGAGGTGGGTAGGGCAGGGAGAGTATTAGGGGAAAAGTGAGGACAACTATAACTGAACAATAAAAAAAAGTTAAAGAAATAAAATAGGGATTTAAATCAAGAGTTTATTTCAAAGCTTCATATGTGATGACTTCATTTAAAAAAATTTTTTTGATTCTCACCTGAGGATAGTGATTTTCGAAAGAGAGGAAAGGGAAAGGGGGAAGAGAGAGGGGGATGTGAGAAACATTGATCAGTTACTTCCCAATATACCCCACTGGGGATTGAATGAGCAACCTAGGTATGTGCCTTGACGGGGAATTGAACCCACAGCCTTTTGGTGTATGAGACTATGCTCCAGCCAACTGAGCCACCTGGACAGGGCCGTTAAGTACTTGTTGAAAAGAAGAGAATCACTTCATTCTGTGTTTCCAGGACTGTGAATTCAAGCCTCTATCATGTACTATGTTCCAGTAGGAAGGAATGATGGAAAGGACCCACATCACGACAGCTAAGCCCTTACATCCTCTTTCTGACCAGTTCTGGAGCTCCAAGAGAGGATGCCCTGTTCATACCCAGCACCGGTGTGCAGCTGTTGGTGCTCGCATGCACAGAAAGGCCCCATGCCCTCCCGCAGGCTCTGCTCCTGCTCAGCACACAGGTCTCGGGCTGCCGCTTGTAGGAAGGCACTCTAACCAGGCACCCCCATGTGCCAGGATTCTTCAGGAAATTGCCAAAGTTCTGTGCTCATGGCATTGACCTAGGAAGTGGGTCTGAGTTTTCCGCAGTGTCTCCAAGGTGTTTGTGCCTCAAGGAAGAGTGAGATGGACACTGCAGCCCCCTCTCAGGGCTGTGGCCTTCTTGCTCTGTGTGCCGCGGTGGGGTGGTGGGGGCAGGACAGTTAGAGAATGGATTCAGAATTTCCCCCAACTCTAGAGCACCAAGGCAGAGAAACCGGGGTTGCAGACACCCTTGCTGGTAAGGACCCTGGGCCCCGGAGCTCGGTCTTTCAGACTGTGAAGGGCTGTGTGGCCGAGGGCCTTGAGGGCAGAGCAAATGACAAGTTCCCAATGGCTTGGCAGGCCTGTTCCTCTAGAGCCTGGTTTTGTGAAGCCTCCAGCAGATGGGAGTGACCATTCTGTCACTATTATGATCAATTGACCAGGTTTCCTGATCAAAAACGAACATCAGAGAACTGCCTTACTGTCAAAGGTAGCCTCATGCTCAGATCACCCAAGTAGGCACTGGATGAACCTTCAGGCGTGCATCCAGATGTTGTGAAACATGGCCCCTCCCCTATCCCTGCCCCCCTGCCCCTGCTGACAGGTAGCATTTCAGTCAGTTAAGAAAAAGTATTTCAGTCCTGTCTACAATGAAAATGGGAAGGGGGTAAGATAGAGAACTAGATAGAACCCAGGCCAGTTTCAAGAGCAGTGCTTGCCTTCTGCAGAGCTTGTGAGAGTAAGATCGAGGCTGGCCCGTCTGGAAGGACCCCAGCCCTGTTAAGCAGAGGAAAGAGAGTGAGCGGCGGAGGGCTGTTCCGCTCCTGTGGTTTTAAGCAGCGAACATCCTCCAGTGCCTTGGAACCCACGGCGAATCTGAGCGCTCGCCCAGTGCACGGGACACAGCACCCGGGCGCCAGGGCTGGTCCACGGTGTCTCCGGGCTCCACCTCGTGAGCAGACAAGCGCACCGTGGCTCTGATTGTTTGCTTTTGGAATGCTTGCTTTTGAAAACTCATACCAGGGAATCTGCGGGCTACTTCCAGTAAGACATCTAACAGAAATGTTTTATCTTTCAGTTTAAAAACAGTTGCCTGTGTGACTGAAATGTCGACACTCCATCATCCACCTGTGATCATATTAAATGTGTCGTCAGAGATGGCGACGTAGAAATGTGGTCGACTGCCATTTAAACACACGCAAAGTAGACATGCCATACACTTCTCTTTTAAAATGTATCTGTATTATTTTCACCAATCAAAACACACATAACGCATTTCATTAGAAAACATCAGGCGACATTACTTTTGAGATATAGTATCTGAAAGGTCACATTTGTATCTCCTGCTGGCATGAAGCTTCAGAGGCACTGCCTGGGTGACAAAGCAGAAGACCCCTCCTTGCCCCCACACTCAGCCTTTCCTTCACTCAGGCTCTCCTGGGTGGGGGGCCCCAGCTGCAGGCAAGGGCCCTGCTGAGGGTGCCTGGACCCAGCTCTGCAGCTCTCGTTTGCATCCCAAAGAGAAGACCAGAGCTGGGTGAGCCTCTCCAGATCCCAGCTGATTAGCCATGAGTAGCATGTGTTTCTAGAATGCTCTCTCTCTGGAACCTGCACTGGAAGTCAAGACCCAACAAAGTCAAGGCAGGCATTTTGGTTTCGACCAAAAACAAACGAAACAAAACCTAGTCCAAATTCCAGGCTAGTGACAAATTACCAGGCTTATAAAAATATGGGTCCAAAATAGTTACTTCCAGGGTTGTGCACAATATAAATTATAAAAATGAATTGGAGAAGACTGAGCATGTTTCAGTTCTCATCCACATCAGTGTTCACCCTGAGCGCTGCCCGCACCCCGGCCCACCTCGCTGGCTCACTTGGGAGTGAGGGCTCTGCCATAGGGAGGCGCTCCCGCAGGACTCTGCGGTCCTCTCAGTGGTCTCAGCAGGAGACCCGTCCGCACAGATGCGGGCCCCACCACGGAGCACACAGAGGAATGGATGCCTGAGCGGGAAGCCTGTCTGCGGGGTGCCTGGTGAGGGGGGCCCCCTGCACCCTCAGCACAGGGAGCTGCATCAACATAGCTTAGGGCACACAGTACATTTAAAAACCTCTCCCCTTTCTTTGTTTTTCTTTTTCAAGATAGATTTACTACAGCTTTTAAAAAGAATGTAGGTCACAAACAAGGCCATTTTAAGATGCTTTTATATGCGTAGTAATAGCTTTCTTCACTATACCATCAGGCCTCCCAAAACAAAATCATCCCAAATCCCACAAAAGTTGCTTCTGCCTCGGTCGAAGTTAGTATTTCCTTCCTGTACCTGAATGTGTCTAAATCTCAAAATATAAAACTATTATTTCAATATTACATTTGCTCATCAAAGGTTCCATTTCCCAGTGATAAGGCCAACCAATAAGATACAACTGGTGCAGAGAGAATCATATATTTTAGATAATATTTATAAGCTTTCCCTCCTCAAAACAATCCTACAGGATGTTGACCCAACAGCTTCCAAAATAACTGAACATAAGACATGAACCTGAAACAGAATAAGCTCAAGGGGAAGCACCAAGCACACAGGGAACCGGCCGTGACCCCGGCAGCTCCACTTCTGCAGCGACACCTGGATCCTCAGCATCCCAGTGAACTGTCCTGCCCACACGCACAGTCTGAAAGTATCCATTTCAGGTGAGCAGTTTAAATCGGGGATATTTAGCAGTTAATCACTACTCTTTCAGGCATCTGCCCCACACCCCCATGAAGAGTTTTCCCAGAACACTCGGGATTTCCCCGAGGGCAAGGCGTGGCCACCACGTGGGGAACCACCATCAGGCACCAGGTCCGTCTGGTTCCTCAGACAGACCTGGGGAGGCTGACTCTCACACACAGGTAAAGGAGAACACAGCCTGTGACGTCATGCACACCGGGAGTAACGACGTAGGCAGGGACCTGCTGGGCTGCGGGCAGAGCAAGCACTCCTGGAGGTGCCCGGGGTGGCCTTCAGGGATCACTGTAAAACTCTGCTCTAAGGCAGGCAATGGGTTCCCGGAGCTATCTGCCATCATATTATTGAAATGGTGGCTAATACAGTGAATTTCTAGGTAGCATTTTAAGTTAGTAGTAAGTCCAGAAGACCCAGAGAAGAGAGTTAGGGAGAGTAACATTTAAAGGTACACATGTCTTGCACAGCACAGACCAAAGCTTGAAATGTTATCATGCAGTCAAGCTGAAGGGCAGCCCCAGCCTCAGACGCCTTGGCGAGAGCAGAGCAGAGTGCACCCAGGTGTCATGGTTTCAGCAGAGATCACTCTGAGCCCCAAACATGACACACTTTTTAAAAGTTCTATTTTTTATTTATTAAATAGATTTAATTATATTCCTTCTGAAATACAAAAGATAGAATAAATCATACCATAAAAGGTGAGATATGATAATAAGATGGTGGCCAATTAATACATGTACATCTATTTTTTTTCTGGACAGAGTGCCAAGTACTTAAGAGGATTAAGAGATAATTCTAGAAGCAGCACTACCTGGAAGACTATTGGGCATTTAAATACTGATTTCCAAAGTGACAGATGGCAAGTCGGAGCAAGCATTTGTGGTCACATGCATAGAAGTCCCAACAGTGACTGAGGATGAGAAATCGTCACGATGATCACCATACGACTTAAAAAAAAATTCATCCACTCTAATGGCTCACCTGAAATGACCGTGAACAAAATCTCTTCAGACACAACCTGCTTCAACCCTAGGCAGGCGATGCTATGAGGACTAGACAGGGCAGGGCCCCGGGTTTCTCACATGCAGAACACGGACTGTGTCTATTTGGTTCCATCAGCTTCTGGGCACCACAGGCCCACGGAGGCGAGAGTTCCTCACGGACGACGGGCTCGCCGTGCCTTCCGCATCATCGACACCCTTCGAGGGGCCCCGTGGAGGCGTCGAGGCTGCTGTCGGTGTCGGAGGCCAGCGTCTGCTCGGTGGACATGGACGAGATGTCGTTGATGGAGGATGACTGGGAAGGCGTGGCGGCGCTGCTTACGGCTGCATCTGTGCTAAGAAAAGCAAACGTAATGAAACCTGGCGCACGACCCTGCGGCAGAGTCAGGCAGTGCGGCCTGGGCACTCCCTGCTCCGTCCTGGGCGTCCGTGTCCATGGGAAGTCAGTCAGTCAGCTGCACGTCTGGAGCGTTTCCTGGAGTCTGTCCCGAGGCCCGGAATCTCAAACACCCCTGTCTTTCCCTGCGACACACCCCTTTTCTCCCCTGTGGCCAAGCATCATCTATGTCCTCCTATGTAATCATGTTAACTACTTAACAGCACCTGCTGGTTTAAAGAGGGTGTTAAAGAAAATCGCTGAATTTACTCTAAAATTATCAATATCTCAAAAGGCTTAAGCCCAAATAGGATTCAAACACAATCGGACATTTTAATAATAATTTCAAACACTTAATCCAAGGAAAACAGCATCAACCTTTGAAGAATTCTTCTGCAATAACAACACCTTCTAAAAGAAGGGCTGTATACAAATAAAAAAGGAAAAATGCAATGGCCTCTTGTTCATTTTATTTTTGTTTTAGAAATCTGCAAAACTGACATTTCGAGGCACACGAAATGATCCCGTTTCCTCTCTCCACATTCTGGTCTGGTCTGGGCACAAGTAAAACTCCCAGGCTGCAGAGGCCGGTGTCTCCAGCCTGAAAAGTGGGCTCAGCTCACAGGAGGCTCCTAGCTCCGTGCTGGAGTTGCAGGACCACCACCGGAGGTCAGGCGGGTCAGGCTGAACGAAAGCGTCAGTGTGCGGAGCGCACAGCACACGTGGGCCAGGAGCGGGGTTGAGGGAGCAGCTCTGGCTGCAGAATCCCAGTGACCAAGCAGGCAGCACCCTGTGCACAGGCATGAATACCACACACTTGCTGTCCCCGGAGCCACACAGTCGCCTCGCTGCCTGTCAGCTGCTCCCACTGGGAAGCTCAAGGGCAAATGGGGTAACTATGTGAACAATTTTCTCAAAAGAAAACCAATTCCACTGTACCTATGTTCACATTGATTTTCTTGTTTAGCTGGATGGGGCCAGTACAAAGTGGGCCATGCACACAGTAAAGGCTTTAAACTGTTTCCTCATCTACAAGTGGAGGGGCGGCAGCTGCTGCGAGGATGAACAGTAAGGTTTGTAACAAGGTTTGCTCACTGCCTGGCCGCTCAGAACAGTGTCAGCCGCCACCCCAAGGGCAAACCCAAATGGGGGAGCCTGACTCACAGAAGGAATTTTCAAGTCCAGTGCTGCTCAACCTGGCCCCCACACACTGCCACTCTCTGCAGAAGCTGTCCAGGGGGAGGACAATGTGCTCACACTCTGAAAGCGAGGACTAACCTGAAGGCTGATCTTTGACAACGCCATTCTTGCTTCTTTCTTCCCAGTCCATCACTTCTTTGTAAATCAGCTCTGCAAACACAAGTGCAAGAGAAAGGCTCTGTCAGCTTCCCCACGTTGCTGAGCCCCGCCCCCAGGTCCCTGGGAGCCACTCCTGGGCACTGTGCAGTGCCACTTTTCATTGTGACACATAGTCCGTTCATAAAGGTAGTTCACCTGGACCAAACTATCCATGTTTTGATCAATTATATCTTTTCAACCAAACAATATTAAGGCCACCAAAAACGTAGGTGGTTCTGGGTCCACAGAGGGGTTTTACACGGCAGGGGGAGGGAGAGAGAACGAGCAAGATGGCTTTCACAGAGCATCTCTGAGTGTTGGATGTTCTCACCTCCATTTGCACGTTTCTCTCCATTGTTACTGTGGTTTCTTCTCCACCCCTGACCAGAATCCACAGGGGCTGGATGCCTCTACAGACCGGCCAGAAATTAATCCAAATACCTAACTTTTTTCTTGGCTTCAACCTGTTTTCCTCAGTTTTCATTTATGAGAAAAACAATCACTAGTAAGTAAGCTATTAGGGGTCCTTGAAAGTTCAGTCTTCGTGAACTGACAGGAGCCAGGCTTCTGCACACAGCTCGGGGCACAGGCCCTGCTGAGAGTGGGTACAGTCACAGGCCCCCTGGCCCCTGGGAGGGAGGCCCCAGGAGGGGCTGCTACCGCTTCTGTGTGACCACAGCTCTCAGTTACCCCGACTCTCATCTTCAATGAAAAATTCTCTTTATTGCTGGTTTGCTTGGTTAATCTTATACTGGTAATAAAAATTATTTGCATATCTGTGATCCCCAATTTTGCCCAAATTGTATTTTAAAACACGCATCCAACTCCATGACGTAGGAATGCAGCAGAAGCTCCGTGCAGGCCCCAGGGAAGGCCCCTCATCTGCCTCTCGGGGACATGTAAATATGGGTTCCTCAACATTTTGCAACACGTTATCAAGGTAAGTGAGTTATCATTACTGCATTTAGTTTACAAACCAGGATTTGCTCATGTCAGGTCATGTGAAAAAGCCCTATTTTTCTCTTCTGAAGCCAATAATAAACAGCTCTTCTTTAACTCTGTTACTTTCAAGCTCTTTCTCCTGGGGAGCAAGGAGACAGAGGCTGGTGGCCTGAAAAGTGAAAGCTCCCCCTTCACAGGGCTTCAGGGCGTGTCCTAGGTAAGGGTCAAAATTAGTAAGCTCACCCTTACCTTTCCACTCTTCAATTGCATGTTCTCTTTCTTCCAACTGGGCATCATAAATTTGAGGTGGTGGCTAAAAATTAAATTCATGTAAAGTCAACAGTTTGCAAAATAATGAGGCATGAAGAAAAGGCAGAATCACTTGGAAGATTTCTCATATATTTATGACATGATATGTATTTTGCTGTGTATGATGTGCATTTTTTGCCCAAATTTTTGAGGTGGAAATAAGTATCCACATTATACATGGGTAGTACTAACTCCCATAATTATGAATTATACATGGGAATCACCATATTTGGCAGTGTATAATGCACACTCACATTTTTGGCCCAAACTTCCAAGAAAAATCTTTCATTTTAATTTTTTAATGTAATTATTTATTTATTTATATTTGGAAGCAAAACCATTATCATATTTCAGGGTATTATTTTGCATATGGATATTGCTACTGCTTCCTAGAATTATACTTTGAACATATTAGCATAAGTAAAAGAATTAAAACCATTTATATAGATACAGAATTAACACTAGCCATGTATAATGCACATCCTTATTTTTCCCCAAAAAATTTGGATAAAGAAGTGTGCATTAGGACTTCCAGCAAGATGGAGGCATAGGTGGACACACCGTACCTCCATGCACAACCAAGATTTGAACAACAACAATTTAGAGGCAGAATAACACCCAGAACTGACAGAGAATTTATCTGAATGGAAGTCGGACAGCCAAGAAGTTGAAGTAGACCCGTTCATTCAGACTGGTAGGAGGAGCGGAGACGAGCGTGGGTCGCAGCTCGCGGAGTGCAGGGAGAGCTGGGCACCTAAGGCAACTGGGAGCTCATAAGCCATCTGGGGCATGCAGCGGGTGGACCCTGAGTACCAAGCGGCAGCTGGCGGACCCAGTGAGGCTGTGATTGTGGACCAGGGCAGAGCGCACAGCCCAGGATCCCAGGGAAGGGACTGAGATCCCAGGAGAGTGGGGCTGCCGCCATTGTTCCCTCCCGCCCCCACCCCCGCCCCTGCCCCCACATACAACGTCACAATCTAGCGACTGGGGTGCCCACCCCGGTGAACACCTAAGGCTCCGCCCCTCACCGTAACAAGAGCGATCAGACCGGAAAAAAAAGAGAGAGCAATGGCTCAAATAGAGGAACAAATCAGTGCCCCAGAACTCATCCTTTTGAGCGACCAAGAAATAGCTAACCTATCAGATGAACAGTTCAAAACACTGGTGATCAGGAAGCTCACAGAATTGGTTGATTTTGGGCGCAAATTAGATGAAAAAAATGCAGGTTACCATAAAAGAGATGAAGGAAGATGCACGGAGAACCAACAGTGATAAGAAGGAAACTGGGACTCAAAACAATAGAGTGGACCAGAAGGAAGAAAAAAGAAACCAAACAGGAAATAATGAAGAAATAAGAATTCAAAAAAACGAGGCGAAGCTTAGGAACCTCCAGGACATCTTTAAACGTTTCAACATCCGAATTATAGGGGTACCAGAAGGGGAAGAGGAAAAGCAACAGATTAAGCACGTATTTGAACAAATAATAAAGGAGAACTTCCCCATTCTGGCAAAGGAGATAGACTTCTAGTAAATCCAGGAAGCTCAGAGAGCCCCAAAGAAGTTGGACCCAAGAAGAAACACACCAAGGCACATCATAATTATATTAGTCAAGGTAAAAACGAAGGAGAGAATCCTAGAAGCAGCAAGAGATAAGGGGACAGTAACCTACAAAGGAGTTCCCATCAGACTGTCAGCTGATTTCTCAAAAGGGACCTTATAGGCAAGAAGGGGCTGGAAAGAAATATTCCAAGTCATGAAAGACAAGGACCTATATCCCAGATTACTCTATCCAGCAAAGCTTTCATTTAGAATGGAAGGGCAGATAAAGTGCTTCTCAGATAAGGTCAAGTTAAAGGAATTCATCATCACCAAGCCCTTATTTTATGAAATGTTAAAGGGACTTATCTAAGAAAAGAAGATAAAGAAAAAACATGTATAGTAAAAGGACAGCAAACTCACAATTATTAACAACCATACCTAAAGCAAAACCAAAAGAAACTAAGCAAACAACTAGAACAGGAACAGAACCACAGAAATGGAGATCACATGGAGGGTTAGCAATAGGGGAGTGGGAGGAGGAGAGAGGGGGAAAGGTACAGAGAAAAGCATAGATTGCATAGAAAGCATAGATTGTAGGATGAAAATAGATAGGGGGAGGGTAAGGATAGTATGGGAAATGTAGAAGCTAAAGAACTTATAAGTATGACACATGGACATGAACTAAAGGGGGGAATGTGGGTGGGAGAGGGTATACAGGGGGGAAAATGGGACAACTGTAATAGCATAATCAATAAAATATATTAAAAAAAAAGAAGTGTGCTTTATACATGGCAAAATATGGTAGTTTCTTTCAAATGTGGCTCATGATAGGTTTCTTCATAAGGGTGATATATAAGTTTTAGAATCAAAGTACCACATTTTGCTGTATATAATGAACTGATGCATATAACGTGCACCCACGTGTTTGGCCCAAACTTTCAGGAAAAAAAGTCTTTTAATTTTTAAATTCAATTATTTATTTATTTATGTTTAGAAACAAAACCGATGATCATATTCCAGGGTGTACTTACTTTGCATATGAATATCGTTATTGCTTTCTAGAGTTACACTTTTAATACATATGCATAAATAATCAAAAACATCTAAATTTTTTTTTAGTTTATTTTATTTTTAGACAGAGAGGAAGGGAGGGAGAAAGAAAGGGAGAGAGACATCAATGTATGGTTGCCTCTTGTGCACTCTTTCTGTGGACCTGGCCTGCCACTCAGGCATGTGCCCTGACTGAGAATTGAACCAGTGACCCTTTGGTTCGCATGTCCATGTTCAATCCACTGAGCCACACCAGTTAGGGCTAAGAACATTTATATAGATATGGAATTAGTACTAGCCATGTATAATGCTCATCCTTATTTTTCCCTCAAAAATTTGGGCAAAAAAGTGTGCATTACACACAGCAAAATAATTTTTAAAAATTACCCAAAAAATGGAGTTATTATGGTCCTCTAAATACTCACATGACCTAAAACACTCTAAATATAGCTGCCCCAATGCAGCTATAAAATGAGCCCTCACAGCTGCTTCCTGCCGACCGGCCGGGACAGTGCTGCGACGGGACACGCGGCAGGTGGAACGCGCAGGCCAGACGTAGTCCTCCGGGCAGAACTCCGAGCTCAACCCCTGCCTATGCGCACTGCTCCAAAATGTGCTTAAAAGTCAGACGTTGATGTATCAGACTTTGTTCACATAAAACACTGTTTGAAATGGTGATTGGATCCGTAGGCCCAGACACACAAATGTGTACTACGTGACTCATAGTAACAAACCACCCATAGCAGAGCGCCTCCGGGAGGGCACAGGAGCACCTGTGCAGAACACAGCACCCCCCCCCACCAGCCCCCACACCGCCCCCTGCCCAGGAGCCCTGGGAGGGACAAGCACACCAGGACTTTCCACAGGTTTCCTAGCCTGACTGGGGCCTAAACCAGATGATGGGACCAAAACCAGGTGCACAATGGAGGCTTAGAGATGGCGACGTGATGACCACATGTCAGCCCTGCAACCAAGAACATGATAGTACTGCCACAGCACAAGCTTGTGCGCTCCTGAGGAACTCGGAGCTGCGGCCCCAGAACGAGTGTCCTAAAGGGCTGTGGCTCCTGTCACATGGCCTCTTTGTGGTCCTCTGGAACCCAGGACTTGCTGTCCTGACTTGGCCATTCCAGACCCTGCCTGCCCCCGCCACCCACAGTTGCTCGCTCACCGCTTCTGCTTCAGCGGGGTCGTACCACACGGCGATGTAGGGGTGGCGCAAGGCCTCGTCCACAGAGATTCTCCTGTCAGGGTCTATCACGAGCATTTTTGACAGCAGATCTCTGGCTTGACTTGCTAGAGTGAAAGAGAGTGAAAACAAATGATAGGATTAGTAACTAATGCTATTTATCTGAAAACTGCACAATAATGAACTTCATATGACAGCACAGATAGAACAAAGATACATTAACTCTGATAGTTTCTTGATTGGTTCAAGATCAACAGAGCCTTTTTCTTTAAGAAGAAGCGAAGCAGTCCTGGCTGGTGTGGCTCAGTGGACTGTTTGCCGGCCTGCAAACCAAACGGTTTCGGGTTCAATTCCCAGTCAGGGCACAAGCCTGGGTTGTGGGCCAGGTCCCCAGCAGGGAGCACATGAGAGGCAACCACATACTGATGTTTCTTTCCCTCTCTCCAAAAATAAATAAATGAACTCTTAAAAAAAAAAAGGATAAGTGGAGTGGCCCCTTTCACAGGAAACTGGGCTTTCAAATGTGATTTCAGCCACCGGACCTGGATGAGGACAGGGCCCCGCGCTGCGTGGCCCAGGCCAGGGCGCGCCGGCGAGCACTTCCTTCCGATGTAGAACAGACCTTACAAGCCACACAATAACCTCACGCTCACACAGTACAGAACACTTCACAGATGCCTCTGCTCTGCCTACCTGTACACAATGTTGTCAATATTCACTTTTAAAAATATCTAGAGATTACTACAATAATTAGAAAAACCCAACAAGTTCAATAACTTAGTTACATTCGAGGCTCATGTAGGTTCTGGCCATTGAAGTTGACACAGGCAAAGGAGAGATGGGACTTTTCTGGCTGAGGGGCAGGTAACCTTGATGTGGAGAGGAATACACCCATTCTCCCTTAAATTACATTTCAGTGATGGACACAGAAGGGAAGAGCTTTTTTTATTGGAAGTACTACCATATGGTTTCTGACTTTTCAACTGGGCTAGATCTTTAGTTGAGTATTCTGTAAACCTGAAAACTTGCAAAGTACCAATCGCTGTAATTAACATATGAGCCTTTCAGGCTGGTGGGAGTATTTTTATTTTGGCCAAAGGCTTTAGTTAAACCATTTTATTGAGGACAAAACTGCTAGGTTGTGGAGCTTTCTCTCTGCAACACCCTTGTGCTGGCCTGTAAATGGCTTTTACTCGAGGGTTTCAAATGCTGTGTCTCCCAATGTTCCTAGGTTTTAGAACACAAACATGGAAAATGAAAGCTTCACCCAGGTTATGAAAATTAGTACAAGAAAAGAGGATCTCTTACTTTTAATTTTGTCTCGTTCCGATTCTGATGGGAATATCCAATCTGGGAAGAGTTCTTCAAATTTGATTCCTGGATACTTTGGTCTGTTTTCTACATAATTCCTCACTGTCGGCTGGAGTTTCTTCATGAAATCTGCAGATGGCGTTCCTAACTGCTCAATCACTTTATTCCACTGATCAATATCTGAGGAGTCTCTTGAGGAAAATACAACTGAAATGCCTTATATTCCCATTATATGAAGTAGCATCATTCAAAGAAAAATCAATTATATTTATACCCGCCAACAAGTAAGTAACTAGACCACCTCTATTGGGTCACTTTAAAGTAATATTCAAATAAGGTTTGAGTGTCCAAGTTGAGATCATTAAAAAAAAAAAAAAAGAAACTCTCACACTCTGCATCTTTATTAAATCAACACAATGAGGTCTACACGTCTTCCCATTCCAGGTCAAATTAGTTATCTTGTAACCAAAGAATAACTATGACAGAAATGCTTATACATGAAATTAGACTGTAATTACATATGCAAGGTGAAATCAGTTTTCATACTAAAGGAGACCTATGGGATCCCTTGGCTCACAGCTGGAGAAGCAGAACCCTCGGACGCAGGGTTCACACCTGCTGCTTAGCTACCATTCCCACATGCACAAAAAAACAAACAAGCAAGAGTTGTCTGTACCTGTATCTCTAACTCCCAGCCTTTTTCTATCTTAAGAAAGTCCTCTTGTCAGCCTTTTCTCCCGTCACTCCTTGAAAGCTAGCCTATCAAGGCTGCCAGTGACCACCCCTTATGCCTCACCTTTCTGCCTGCGTCACGTGGCTCCCCTCAGTACCTCTAACCCCCCACCACCTCTCAGGCCCCCTCTCTGGGAGGGGCCTGTGCTTCCTTTCCCACTCCTCTTCTTTTTGCCACCCCAGGGCATGACCCCTTTCTTCTCTCTCTCTCTCTCTCTCTCTCTCTCTCTCTCTCTCTCTCTCTCTCTCTCTCTCTCTCTCTCTCTCTCTCTCTCCCTCAGCCCTCCTTCCACACCAGCATCTTGGCTTTAGTCAGCACAGCAGACTGACCACCCCTGTTTATTACTCCATCCCTTGCCTCCTTCCTGAGCTCAGCTCTTGACATCTCCAGGGTCTGACAGATGTCTCAGACCCCAACAAGGCTCTCCCGAAGGGCTGACCTTCAAAATGCATGCAGTGTTTTAGCCCTCTCCGTCCCCACCGCCCCCCCCCATCCTGGTGGTCTCCCTGCTTCAGCCCTTGACCTTGCAGGTCTCACCCTCACCTCAGCAGCTGGGCCACCCTGTCCAACTGAAAGTCAGATGGAAGCCTAGGAATGGGTGGGCACTCAATAAATAGCTACTGGATCTGTGGTCAGCAGTTGGAGCAGGGCAAGGATGATGGGCCAGGTACAGAAGGTCACCAGGGTGGAAAGCCCTGGATACCTAGCAACAGGCAAAACTGGGAAAGCAGGGACCTCATCCCCATAGTGGCCTTTCCTCCCCTGGAATGTCACTGGTCCCCTGACCTCTCCTTCCCTGGCATGTCACCAGTGATGCAGGTTAGACCCCTTAGTATGGGAATGAACAAGGAGGCCAAAGAACAGCCCTTCAGCAGTGAGCCCCCAGGACGGTGAGGTTTTGACTCCCATCAAATGCATCAAATGCATTTTGGTCTTGGTTGTGTTTCAGCTCCAGCCCAGAAAAGCAGGAAACCAGACAAGCGACACCATCACTACCTCAGGAGCCCCTGCCCTGGCACCATCCAGTCAGTGGAGACCACGACCCTGAAAGGACACACCTGGACACTGATGACTGTTGTATTGGCATCGTCCCCAGGACCTCTCCTAAAATCTCCACCCTTAAAAGCCCTGAGGATGGAGCACCCAGAATGCTTGCTGTCCCTCCTTGGAACTCCTGGCATCTCTCCCCTCCCTGCCTCTTCCCCCCAGGTGGCTACCTTTACTTTCTCTGGCCTAAGCTCCAAGGGCCCTTCTTTTGCCTCTGTAACTTGTTTCCTGAGTGCATTTCTTCTATTGCTCACTCCTTCTACCTCTGTGACTCTCTAACTACACGTTCTCTTACAGTTCCAGTTGTGGCTCTGAATTCTTTCCCAGCCAGAACTCAAGGACCGAGGATGCTGAACCAAGGTCAGGTCTGACCCTGCTGGTACAACACCTGGAGCCGCTCTCGCTGCTGCCAGCAGATTCATGATGAAGGGCCATGTCTACAGAGTTCAGGGGGCTGGATAACGGGAGGACAGTCCTGATCGGCCTGGCTGATGTCCTGGGTGTGTGAAGGCGCCACTGTGCTCTTGTTACACCACAGAGAGGCCAGGGCTCAGAGTGGCCTTGACTCCTCAAGGATGCAGACAGCGTGTGGGAGCCTGGCTAAAGCTTCCTCTTTTTCACAGGCCACGTTAGCACAGGAGCTCCTTTTGACCCCAAGTCATGAATATAAAATAATCTTGAAAATTGTAATCTGGTTTCCAGGATCTTTTTCTATCCTAGTAGTAATTCTTAATCTAATGTATGAAAAATTGGCAAAGTTATCTTTGGAAATTATGTCAATCTCCATGTATGTTCTGAGAATGACATTGGGTGACCTTACATATATAACTATTAATTACTGACACTGCAAGATATTGATATGTAAAACAAGAATTTTAAATTATTAATGTACCCAAAAGTACCCATATTTTTCATTTTTATACTTTCTGAAAAGCACATTTCTTAATACTAAAAGAAAAGGCACAAAATGAATAAGAATTGAGACAACCTGAATGTTAAATAGATACTTCCATATTATGTATCTTTAGAATATGTCAACTTATCCCTTTTTAATTGACTTTATTTGCAAAATAAAGCCCTCCTTACAGTTTGAAACAAACTAGTGTAGGGTAGGCTACGGAAAACTGTAGAAAATTTACTAGAACAAAATAAATTGCTGTATTCAATGTCACATAAAATCTGTGATGTGGAAAATGTAAAGGAAGGTAAATAAAATCACAGAAACAAAATCTTTTCATTCCAAATTTGTGTTGTGAAGAATTTATAATACAAGAAAACCACCCTCATGAAATTATAAAAAACTAAAATTACTTTAGCAAAATACAAACATTTACTACACAGCTTGATTTCCTTTAAAAATAACCATCAATTGGCAATGAACTGAGATGCTTAAAGCTTTCATTAGGAAAAAAAAAAACAAAACAAAACCCAAAGACTAATGAAAATAATAAGTGGTGAGAACACAAATAAAAAAGGACGTATGTGAAGAACAATGTTTGAGTAAAAAATATTAACGATGGAAGAATATGAGGAATATGAGGAAAGAAAGCTATTACATTACCTACTCTACTTTATGCCATGTCATTAATACAATTTCCTGACCACAGAATAAGTTAATCTTTTGTATTTTATATTTATTTAGACTTCCCAGTATCTCACAAAATAACTTGCTAAAGGATCTTTTAAAAATTTCTATAAAATGTCAGCAAAGTCACAAACAAGAAAATTCACCACATATTGCTCCTCACAAACTTTTGCTTTAATCTTTTTCATTTAGGTTGTGAGTAGTGTGCTTCAGTTCTCTGGGGGAAAGTATTTTAAGTACATAGATAATTAACAAAATGGTATATTAATTTAATAACACAGTAATACTAGCCTATTAGATTTAGATAGCAACTTGCCTAGTTAAATTAATTGAATGAACTACATAAACAGTATTTGCATTTATATCAGAATACATTCATCAAACAATAAATAAGTTTCGAATAAGCTACTTTTGATAAAATTAAGAGCCAATTTTAACTGGTTTAACTTAACTCCAAACCTCAATAAAATCATTGGAGGTAGTCAAGTGAAAAAGGAAATGCCAAGGAGAGCCATTTGGTTTGTGATGCCAACTGAACAAGCACGATAAAGCCCCCATGAGCCCAGTCTGGACTTGGGACAGTCTCCTCCAAGCGCTGCCCGCGGGTTTAAGGGAAGCACGGCGGGGAGGTCCCAGGAAGGATACGGTCAGTGCCTTGGAATATCACACAACCTTTCACCAGCTCGCCCATGATGCACCCCACTGACCAGATGTCAACTGAAAATAAAATGAAATGATGAAATTATAAAGTGCCATGAACAAAGCAAAGGTGAGGAAAAGGAACTCGAACAGTGCGCTGAACACACAAATGTGGAAGAACCAATCACTAAGGGTGAACGTCACACGGCGGGAATGTCGTCGGCATCCAGTGGAGCCGTTGGTGCGCAGCGACGTGGGGTTTCAGAGCCGAAGATTCCGAAACTTTATAGCTTAAAAAGCGACCAAGACTCTAGGACCAAGCAGTGCTTGTCCACCCAAAGACACTTCAGGCCACACCCACGCTGCCCAGCCCTGCGGCCAAGGCAGGGTCTCTCCGTGAAGGATACAGTCTCTTCCTGGGAACAGGACTTTATGGAGGACCATTTCTGCCATGATGCACCCGACAGACCAGATGTCCACTACCAAACACCAGGTGATTAAAACCAGCAGCAGGCCCATACCTCTTTCCTCAGAGCCCCTCCCACACAAACACAGACCCCGCTGGTTAAGGGAGCTTTTGAAAACACCCCACACCTCCCAAAAGACCTTTTCTCAGTCGCCTGTTGGCGTCAGTGGGGCCTCACAGAGGCAGGCTTGCCTTCCTGGGGCCGGCTTTCCTCTGCCTGCCCAGGCCTTAGGCAGCGGGCAGAGGCTGTTTGGTGCCCCTGCTGCTGGGTGGGGTGCGGGGGAAGGTGTCCAGGAATCTTCTCTCCCTTTCACAGGAAACAAGAGAAGCCCACAGAGCAGGGTCTCTCACAGTGGGTATGCAGGTTACAGAACAGCTAAGTCAACCTGAAGCAAAACTCACTTCACGATTCAGGCAAACGTTCAACTTTCTTTCTTTTTGACAAATTCATGAAAAGCTAGGTTTGAAAGAGATCTGATATTGCTAAAATAAGTTTTGATGTCAAAAACCCCATGATTTTATGCACAAAGAACATGTATTATTCTGTTTAGGTCAAGTTTGAAGATAAGCAAAACCGATCAATGGTGCTAGAAATTAGGGTGAAGGTTTCCCTTGGGGCTGAGACCTGGGGGACTTGGGGGGGGGGTGCTGGCCTGTGGCTGCGTTCCCACGGAGTACATATGGGAAGTCTGTAGACTTTCCTGTAAGTATGTTACACTTTGATAAACACTCAAAAGCACCAACTTCAAAAGTGAGTGACTTTAACTAATGTAAAAAAAAAATTATTTGTTACACGTGGACTATGATAATCTGTGGGTAACCCAGGCCCCACTTGGTATTTCACGCAACTCACAGGGAAGAGACAGAACCAGGACAACCAGCCCAGTCTGGAGATGCCTTGGCCTCTTTTGGCTCCATGCGCACTTACCGTTCTCCTTGTAGCCCATGCCCAGGATGACTTCAGGTGCCCGGTAGTACCGTGTCACCACATATGGGGTCATCATGAAGTTGGTGCACGCCGTCCGTGCCAGGCCGAAGTCCAGGATCTTCAGGGTGCAGTCTGACTTGACAACGATGTTGCTAGGTTTCAAGTCCTGGGACAGAAATGGTTTAAATGAATAAAGTGAATCAAAGCACGTAAACAAACCACCTCACATGGGCACAGACCGAGGGGTTTCTGACTACTGAAGTGCCTGACGGTGCTGCTGGGAGGAAGGAAGTGGGACAGAACCCTGGCCTTTGGGAACAATTTGGGAAAATCCTACTCTCCAACTGAAACGAATACATGTACACCTAAAGAGGTCAGATGGTAGCCCTCACCCCCATGTGGAAACCTTAATGATCTATCTTTGCTTAAAACCTTGTTAGGTGGAGCTGGCTGGGCTGAGAGCCCAGGGTCCGTAAGGCATGGGGCTGCCAGTGGGTAGGAGCTGTGCCACCCTGGTTCTGGATAGCAAGCATGGTGAACCTGGCAGCCATGGGGAGCACTGGCTCCTGAGCAGGAGGAGTAGAGGGCAGTGAGAGATGGGTATCTCCTCCAGTTCAAAACCGTGATCAGCCCATTTTGTGGAAAGTGCAGTTTAACAGCAGGCCCAGTACCCAATGCCAGAACTCCATTCAAGGGATACCCCCAGCACGGACAGATGAGCTGGGAAGGATGTGCCAGTGGGCGGCTGCTGGACCGGCTACGCCCCAGCACCAAGCAGCAGTGCTGTGATGGCGGCTGGTCCAACAGCTGCTGCAGCACTGGTAAGCGCTGTGTTTCTTGCTGCTGAAGCCGACCAAGCAACTCATCAGGGAGTGCCTCCTCAGCCTCAGCTGGCAGCCTCAGAACCTCCTCGTGGTCACTGAAGATCACCCTGAACTGCTTGGCTAAATGCAGAACCTCACCCCAGGGCGGGCAGCACAAACACCCCTACAGGGGCCCCACAGTGAAGAATTGCATGGAGAGAGCGCTCCCTGGCTCTCTTGTGCTGGGTGCAGACCTGCTGCATGCATGACCTGAGCCCTTGCAGCCTGAAGCCAGGCCTCAGCAGGCACTGGTCCCTTGGGAGAAGAGGGAGGCGTCATGTGGAGACCTTGGCTTTGGCCACTTCTTGGGTTGTACACTTTGGCTTCACTCCCTACCAGGCTTTCCCAGTTGGGGCTGGCATGTAAAGCAGCTTGGAAACACAAGCGAGTGGATCACATTTGAAAAAAAACTTCAGGCCAGGTGTGTGAAGGGGCCGGCACGCTGGGTGCCTCCACCATGCAGCTGCTTGGGGACCTGCGGTCACTTGTGTGCTCATCGGGGCCCTGCCCCGCAGAGTTACTCACTGGGCTTCTTTGGGGTGGTAGGGAGATGATGACGCTTTATACAGGAAAATGCCTCGCCTTGCCAGTCGCCTATATTCAAGGCAACTGTCTTGTGTTTTTGAGGGTCATGAGTTCAGTCGTCCCTTCCCCCAAATACAATGTTTGGCCTCTTGAAATGTGCCTGTTCTCTCAAAGTAGCTGTTTTGGGTTTTGTTTTGAGTCTTCAGCAGTGGGCCCTGAACATTGTATGCTGACATCTACAACTGTCTAAAATCTCAAAGATACTGTTCCATTCTAACCCAGAGCCAAGCTTCCAGTAGCGGGCACCACATGCTCTCAGATTTCTTTTCTGGGGGTATTGGGGACACTTGTAAACCTATATGTGAGCCCCATTTTAAACAGAAATTCTGACTTAGTTGTCCTGGAAGATTTCATTCTTGTCACCTAGAAAAACTGAAATCAACTGTCCAGATATGGGACTCAGACTCAAGACCTGTTGGTATGAGGCCCAGGGAGGGCATGAGTGAGGGGCACAGCCTGTGAAAAGCATTGACTGGTCACCATGATGAAAACCACAATGTGGGCTCTGATCCAAACCCAGCTACACTGTAACTACTGGGAGGTGGGGGGACTGACTGGTAAGGGTTACGGTCAGTAAAAGAAAGTCACATCAGTAACCTTAAGCTCCAAATTTTTTAAAAAGTCAACAAATAGAGATCTAATCATATTAATTCAAGATATGGAGATAAACACTAAAACAACAGCTAAAGGAAGTGAAAGAGCTTGCTTCTGGGGACTTTGCTCTTTTTTTTAAAATAAACATTTGTAGAATTATTTGATCCTTGATTAAAATAAAAAACAAATCAACCAGGTAATTCAGCGAGTTGCAGGACAATTATGTACAAGATGAACCTGTTTTCGAAATATAAGCTAAGAAAGACATAAGTATAATCAGATACATTGGTTTCAGCTTTCACAGGAAGTCTGCATCCACAGGAAGTGAGGAAGGAAACACCCCACCTGGCACAGGTTACCTTCAGGTGGCAGTGGAGTGCTTAAGGATTCCCATTTCTTTTAATTTTTCAAATCATGTAAAGTAAAAAGTGGTGGGATTATGGTTTATTTTTAAATAACTAAAATTTATGCAGAGTGTAAAGTCATCTTACTGAGCAAAACTGAAATTGTGTATCTGTGTGTGTGGAACTGACTGAAAGTGTGAGCCTGTGTGCCAGGTACTGACTGAGAGTGTGAGCCTGTGTGCATGGCACTGACTGAAAGTGTGAGCCTGTATGCACGGTACTGACTGAAAGTGTGAGACTGTGTGCATGGTACTGACTAAAAGTGTGTGCCTGTGAGCATGGTACTGACTGAAAGTGTGAGACTGTGCATGGTACTGACTGAAAGTGTGAGACTGTGTGCATGGCACTGACTGAAAGTGTGAGACTGTGCATGGTACTGACTGAAAGTGTGAGACTGTGTGCATGGCACTGACTAAAAGTATGAGACTGTGTGCATGGCACTGACTAAAAGTGTGAGCCTGAGTGCCTGGTGCTGTACCCAGACAAAGGATGGGGTGGGTTAGCAGTATAAACGTTAAACGCACTTTCTTCCCTCTCAGTACCTGGAAGTGGGGTGAGGTGGGCACACAGGGCGTTTCAGTTTTGTTTTATCTACCCTTCCCACATGAGCATGGGGCACTTTTGCAGGTGGGGAGCCTGGCAAGCGTCAGAGTGTGAGCAGGATGGAGAGCTGGCCCACAGAACCATCTGCTCAGGTCTTCTCAGGTTTCCGTGCACCACCTTTGGACTGTAGCTGCCCTCTGGCCAGCAGCTGTGGGCCTGAGCTACAGGGTCTGCACATCCCCTAACACCGGCCCCTGTTGGCTGTAGCTCTCTTACCAGGTCCCAGCACTGGACAATGGTGCTGTCCTACAAATCTCCGGGCTCGAGGGGGAGGAGAAAAGGCAAACCCTTGCCCTTTATAAAATTAGTAAGACTTAACATAATAATCTGGGCACTTATTCCAAAGTATCAATTTAATATAAAATGTACTTAAGAGATATTAAGAATTCTTTAATTTGTATAAATGTCTATGAAAATTTTAGGAAGAGAAATACAAAGTACGCTGGGAAATCATTTTTTTTTAATTTTTAAGATTTTATTTATTTATTTTTAGAGAGGGAAGGGAGGGAGATAGAGACAGAGATAGAGAGAGAAACATCAATGTGTGGTTGCTGAGGGTCATGGCCTGCAACCCAGGCATGTGCCCTGGCTGGGAATCGAACCTGGGACACTTTGGTTCCCAGCCCACGCTCAATCCACTGAGCTACGCCAGCCAGGGCTGGGAAATCATTTTTAATAAAAAAAATGTATTATTTTGAATGCAGATTCAACAGAATTTGTATTATTCTAACTGAACACTTGGTGGCAGCAGAGGCTTCATTTTACATAACGGTTCACCAGTCAGGAGCCAAGTGCTCATCAGTGAGTCTTCCAGGACTGGACAGGCCCTGGGAGGACCAGGGATGCCTCCCCAACGCTGGCCTCATGCTGCAGACCTGAGGATCATGATAAGGTCAAGGGCTAGGCCCTCTCTGAGTGGGTGGGCTCTGTCACCATGGAGACCTCCATTCAGCAGCTGTGATGGGACCAACCTTCCTGGCACCTAATGGACCTACTACACCATTGAAAATCTCTCTTTTTTTCTATATGGATAGGTTTCATTGTTCTTGTCTATCTTTCTCTGTATACAGATTTAGTTCCAAGAAATGACAATTTCTTGATGTTGAAACATAATATCTAAAGAATCCATGAACAAAATTAGTATGGTAATAATTTAGAGAATGCTATATATGATTCCAATAAAATTACATTGTTTCCACCTTTAATCTCACTCAACATTTTGTTTCAAACTTCTATCATGGTGCTCTGCTTATACAGCAGTCCAAGTCAAAAAAATAAAAACTCATACAACCAGCTTAGAGAATTCCATTGTATCTCCCTGGTTTTTAACTGTTACTTCCTGACAGTACAGGCAACTCTGTCATCCAACGCCAGTCTTAGTCCACTCAAGAGGCCCACGCAGGTGGATGCTGGAGTGGCAGAATGTTTCAATAGAAGAAACATATTTGGGCCATAATTTATGTAAGATTTCTCAAATACCTATATTATTTACTACTTGGCTTCTAAATTTCCCTATCCCAAATCTAAACCCTTGATTCATTAAAAATGGGATTTCAAATACAGCAAAAACAGTAATAGGTGAGTATGGGTAAACAGTATGTGGGAGTTCTTTGTCCTATTTTTCTGCAGCATGAAGATGAGCACCTGCCGCTGGCTTGCATTTAATGTGGCCCACATGGGCCCAGGCCAACCAGGTGAACACAGATGTGTTCTGATCTCAACAATGTTTGGAAACTCAACACAATCCTACAGTTTATGTGGCTTTTCAACATTGACATATTTTTTAAAAATATTAAGTTCTTTTGTACTTGGAAGATTCTGACAACAAAATGATTGTGATTTAAAAAAAAATGAATATGGCATCATTACTTACTCGATGAATGATACCGGCTGAATGGAGGTGTTTAATACCACAGAGCATCTGGTAAAGAAGGTAGGACATTCTTTCGTGGTCCAACTCCATATGAATAACCTGACATAAGTTAGCATCCATTAATTCCATAACCAGATACCTGAGGGGGAAAAAGAGCAGCCATGTACACATAAAAATCATCCAAAATTCCTTTATGGCTATTAAACCAGAATTTTTATGAAACAGTAATAGCTTACCTCCTAGTCAACACACTGGCTAAAGTAAAATAACTTTTCTCTAAACATTTTATAAGGTATCTTGAAAAGAAGAACTGTATAATGGAACTTCATAAAACTTTTTTTCAAAAAAAAAAACACAACTAGCAATGCAATGTCTTTCAAGTTAAAAACATTTTTTATGTCATAGTAAATTGAATCTCACACGTCCAAATTCTCCTACACCTTAACTTTTTTTACTATGTAATCATTCTTACCAATATAGAAACCTGCTGTTATTTCTCTCATATTAAGAAAACCTAATCCCTGGAGATGTAGAAGGAATAGTCAATAATATTGTAACAGATATAGTGCCAGGTGGGTACTGGACTTATCAGGGGATAACTTCCTAAGTTATGTAATGTCTAATCATGGTGTTGTACACCTGAAGCTAACATGATACTGTATATTATCAATAATAGGGAAATAAATTAATTTTAAAAAGCTTGACCTCACTTTCCCCAGAAGCTACTCTGCCCTACTTTTTTATTCCCTTTGTAAGCATAACTCCCCAAAGAGGTGTCTATGCTCACCATTTCCAATTCTCCTCCCATTTTCCCTTCATCCCACTTTGATCAAACTTTTGCCCCTCACTCTGCTGAAACCTTCCTCAAGACTCCCAGGGACTTCCACGTTGCTAAGTACTGGCTGGCAGCACCTTTCTCCTCCCCCACGTCTTAATTGTGGCATGCCGGGGCTTGATGCTCGGCCTCCCTATCTGTCACAGACTCAGCAATCTCCTCTGGCCTCTGGTCTCAAGGTTTTAAATACCATCTACAGACCACCAACTATACATTCTTACCTTCAACTCACACCTCTCTCCAGGCTCATTTATCTAACTGCCCACTTCACGGTTCCACGTGAGTGTCCAACAGATACCTCGACATCCTGTCCAGAGCTGAGCTCCTGAGTGCATCCTGAATGTGCTCTCCCTGCAGCCTTCCCCATCTCGGTTGAGAGCATTTTCATCCATTAGATCGGTCTGAAGCTCCAGGGGCCATCCTCAGCGCCTCTCACTCTCTCACCACGCGTCCTCTCTCTGAGTGAGTGCTGAGGTTCCACCTTCCGAACACTTTCAGCACCCAGTCTCGCCCCTTGACCCACATTAGTAACCCTCTGGTCTAAACGAAGCCACCATGGCCTCTCACCCGAATTGCTGCAATCACTGCCCAACTGGTCGTCTGTGTCCCTACAACTTATGGCGGGTTCTCAAAACCCAGAAACCAAAGTTATTCTTTAAAAACAGAAGTCAGATAAGCTCCTCCCTCTGCTGACAGTCTTACTTACTTGCCTTTGAATAAAAGGAAATCCTTCCAGGGGCCTAGAAGGCCAACAGTGCCTGGCTCCATCCCTTCTCATCCTCTCCTCTGCTCCCTGCGCTCCAGCCCACTGGCTGCCTGCTGTTCTCAGAACACATCAGGCATGCTCCTACTTCTGCTCCTTTGCACTGCCTATTCTCCCATCTCAAGTCCATCTTCCCTTAACTATCTGCAGGACTAACCTCTTTACCTTCTCCAAGGCTTTCTTCAAATGCCACCAATCCAGTGAGGTCTTTCCCCAAGCCCTCTTCCTTAAAACTCCAATCTGACTCTTAACCCCCAGCACTCTGGGTCTCCTGACCCAGCTCCACCTTTTCCTCAGCACTGCCAGTCCCAGTGTGTGACATTGTGACATCGTCCCTGTCTCCATACTTCTTATGGTGATTGATTCTCTCTCTTCCTTTGCATTCCTGCATGCTTGAGGAAGGAGGGTGACCACCAGCAATTCTTAAGTAATAAAAGGGATTTTTTTCTTGTTTTGGTCACTAAAATATGCCAAGTCTAAGACAGTGCAAACACAGGGCTGGCCATCAAATATTTGTTGGATGAGTGAATACACCAATAACTTTAGAATAAATTCATATTTCATTGTTAGTAATTCTATTTCAGATTTTAGAGATGCACAATATTTAATGACTTAACCATTTTAAATAATAATTGTAAACACCTGAACCCTACAATCCTGGCTTTTGAGGAACTGGAGAAAAACATTTTTATATTTCAGTAAAGCAAATTAGTGGCATTAATAGTCATTGTCTGCTTTGAAGAATTGTTTCTAGTCATCCCTTATCTGTTAAGGAGAGGATAACCATACAGGTGCAGACAGTTGAAGATTATTATTCATTTCCCTAATAGTTCTCTTCCACAGAGAAAAGTGGCTAAGATAGCATTAGAAATGTACTGTTGTCCAAAGTAAAAAAAGAAAACAAGAGAAGTTACTTTCATAAGTAAAAAAAGCAGCTACTGTGTTTTCTAAATATTCAGTCTTTGACACTAGTGCATTACTGAAAAAAAAAAAGGGATACTTACACATCTTGAAATTCTTCAAGAGTTTTTTGTGGTGTAAACACATTTAACAAACTAATTATCTGAAAAGAAAAAATTAGTTAAACCTCAGAATATCTGAAGACTCTAAAAGTTAAGTTTAACATATCAAAACTGGAAAAATTACAGCAGGGCTTAGTATTTGTTATTATTGTCATTGTTTTTACCAAAAACATTCTATTACATGGTATTTGAAAAAACTTAGACAATTAGGATTCTCACCTTGGAAATAAGATGTACTTTTAATCAAATCACTTTTGTGTGTCCCTAATTTATTATTTTATTATTAAGAATTTATTATTAAGAATTGTAACACTTAATGTCTTTCTAACTCTGAACATAAAGTAGAAATTATGGGCAGAAAAACACAAAATAAAGCAATATGCTAACTCTGAAAATTTAAATACTATATGCAAATTTCTAAAAAGTTTTGAAATATGAAGGCTAAGCTCGCATCTCTGGTATGAGAAAGATGAAATGCCTCAGAACATGCCAGAAGCGGCCCCAATGCAGGCTTTGGTGCCAGCAGTGCGATGCTGCTTGGGCATCAAATGTGCATCCTCTTGGGCATTAAATGTGCATCCTCAGTCATTTCAAATGACCATGGGAGAGAGAAATCATTCAGTACATAGAATTGGGGTGGCTGGCTAGCCAAGGAAAAAGTATAACTGGATCTACACTTCAATCTTTCTTTACACCAAGATAAACTTGGAATGGAACAAAGATTTAAGCCTAAATCACAAAAGCATAAAATGTGGATAAACATTTCTGTAATCCTGGTATAGAAAAGCCTTTTGTCAGCATGACAGGAAACCTAAGAGATCTGATTCTATTAACCAACCCAACAAAAATAAAATTGGTAGGGCAAAAGCATCCTAAGTAAGGTCAAATGGAAAAGAAAAAGTGAGGGTCAATGAGTTGACCCACACAAAGATCTATAGTGCCTACGGAAGAGGCCAACAGCCCAAGAGAAAAATGGACGAAGGCCATGGAAAACAAATTCTCAAGAAATGAAAATAAATGGAAAGAAATTTAACCTCACAAATAAAACATGTCTTTGGTCATCTGGCAGACTGTTAAACCATATGTGGTAACACTCTCAAGGAAAGCACACAGCTGACAGTCTTCCTTGAGGTGAATTTGCCAGCATGGATTGAAGTCAGAAGTGTGCGTACTCTTGGACTCAGCACTCTTGGTCAAGAAATTCAGCTGGATGAGTGTGTAAAGATGCATGTGAGGGGATACTCACTGCTGCAGCACTGTTTACAACAGGGAAAAACTGGACACGACCTACATCGCCAGTAACAGGTGATTGGTTAAATAAATGATGGTGCATCTGTACCAGGCAGTCATTTAAAAAATGGTTTCTGTCTATGTTCATTAATGTATGTGAGACCCAGTGGCATTCCATGGGGGAAGAGGCAAGATGCACAGTCATGGAGCTGGTCTTGTTCATGTGTGTGGGAGCTCACATGTGCACCAGGAGCTGGTCTTGTTCATGTGTGTAGGAGTTCACATGTGCATAAGGATGCTCACCAAAGTGTCAATGACAGGGGTCTGTGCGGGGTGGAAGTCAAGGGTTTTGCTTTCTTGTTTACAGGGTTTGAACTGTTAAAAAATAATAACCATATTTTTGTAACCTGAAAACAATTTTTTAAAAATAGATAAGTAAAATAAAACATGCTTCAGAGAAATTAAAAACAAACTGAAAGCACCGACTCAAAACAATGAACCTACCTCAGTTTGGTACACCACAAAGACCCAGCATAAATGTTAAAACGTTAAGAGCAATCTCAATCACCCTCCACAATAAAAAGAGGTCACATGGGGGGATCTTCAAGGGCCCTTCCTGGCTTGACATTTCACGACTTTATAACATGATAAGGTTATGAAAGAATGCTCAGAGACCAGAACATAAAGTGTGCTCGAGTACCTCATTTCCTATAGACACCTTTTCTCCTTGAAATGTACGGTGCTGCCCTGGCTGGTGGGGCTCAGTAGACTGTGAACTAAAGGCTCACCAGTTCAATTCCCAGTCAGGGTACATGCCTGGGTTGTGTGCCAGGTCCCCAGTAGGGGGCGCTCGAGAGGCAGCCACACACTGACGTTTCTCTTTCTCCCTTCCTCTCTAAAAGTAAATAAATAACCTAAAAAAGACAATAAAGTATTTAAAACAAACAAACAAGCAAACAAACAAATAAAGGGTACAGTGCTTTGATTTCTGCAGAGATGCCAAGCACAGCTAATCTTGAATATAATGTCATCTAATAACATTTATTTAAAACTGAAATATCTGTAGGTAAAAAGCTACTTACAGAATAATGCTTTTCTAAAAAAATATTTGTTGTTTCTTAGTTTGCTAGGTCAACACTGATGCCATTTAATAGAAACAGAGCCAGAGACAGCTTAGTGGCTACAGGGCTGACTGACATTCCTATCCCTGCTGAGTGACCTAAATTCCTACAGACCATGGTGCCTCTTGCAGACTGCAATTTCCCCAATGTTGAGAAGAATTTTATCAATAAAATATAACCATTTAAATAGTTATTTTTTAAAAAGATTTTATTTACTTATTTTCAGAGAGAGGAGAAGGGAGGGAGAGAAACATCGATGTGTGAGAAAAACAATAATCTGTTGCCTCCTAGACTTCCCCCACTAGGGACCTGGCCTGAAACCCGGGCATGTGCCCTGACTGGGACTTAAACTGGTGACCTTTTGGTTTGCAGGCCAGTGCTCAATCTGCTAAGCCACACCAGCCAGGGCTAAATAGTTATTTTTATCACTAAGTTACCCTAGGTCTGGACTCAATGTGACCCACAGGATTATCACACCACTAACAACATTCACGTATATTGAAGAAGCACAGATGTAACTCACATTTTTATGATTGACACATTTTAGGAGCACGAGTTCACGATAAGCTCTCTTTGCATGAGTTTGATTTTGAAAAGGCCGGCTTAGCTTCTTGACTGCAACATTTATCCCAAGAACTGTATCAAAAGCAGCACTATAATTAGGAAATATAACAAGCAATCCATTAGAATGATTATGAAAATACAGCAATGCAATATGTACAAAGTATGATCTTTTTTAATGAGTAACAAATAAAGAAAAATCTTTCTGCTTGTTTCCACCCGAGGGACTCCTACTCATGGAGAGCCAGGTGAGCTGGCTCAGGGTGTGGGGCAGACTGGCGTTCTGCAGAGACGGGGCGTGGCAGCCGCAGTTAGGACAGGGTTCGGCAATCCTGCGCATGCTGGCTTCTCACTGTATTAGTTGGGGTCACTATATTCAGAATCAAGTAATTTAATGCAGAGCATGTAACAACAATTAAGAAATGAAATCTTCAGTTTAAATATGCCAGTAAATTAGAACAAAGCTCCAGGTTATCACAGGATAAACTATATTTCAGAATATCACAGCGGAGGGAATGGTTGAGCTCATGGAAGAAAACAATAAATTTAAATTTTGACTGAGTGTGTTTTTCCCAGAAAGAATCTAAAAAGAAAACAGAGGCCAAAAATCTCAGCTCATGGTAAACTCCAAGATACAAAATCCCTAATGTAAGCAATTGCTACATATAAAATTCCATGAGAAACTGCCTTGTACTAGTATAATAAAAATAGAATCTTCTGGAACCTGTTTCTACCACCTCTAGTTCCTAGTTGAAACTGGTTCATTTTCCTCCAGAAAGAGGAAAGACAGACAGAAAAAACTGAGTGGACCAACTGCACATTTTGTTCTAAGTTCAAATGAGTTCTAATAGCACCATTCAAGTTACTTTACTATCTTTTGGCTACCCATCAGGGGCTGCAAGCTGCTAAAGACCACCTGAAACATGAGCGACATTTAAAGTTCTGTTTCTATTTCTTTATCCTATTCAGTTTACAATATGGCTCACACTTACTCAATTTTTGAATAGTGTGTTTTCCCCAGAATTCCCTAACTTAACTCAACCTGCTTTTAAATTGAAGGCTGAAGCATTTGGTTAAGAATGGTTAGAAACTTCATGAACCCTGGAATCATTTTTCCTCTAATTCAGTTCACATTATGTGTACATGTTTACACATATGTAAATTCATATGCCCATATATAAATGCATCATTCACATGAATTATAAAATGTTAAAGAAAAATCTATTTGTGAAACAAATCCTTAATTAATGTACATGTATACACATGTATTTGCACCTATATTTCTCAGGCTCAGGAATGTGACAAAAGACACATCTTTTTTGGTCTCAACAGTTTCTGTCCAAAATAAGCCAAATGGATCAACTCTGAGCAGCTGAGCAGACACATCACTACTCCTCGCTTCCACTTCAGCAGTGACTACCATCCCGGTTTTACTTCTTGCAGTTACCGCTAAGTTCCAAAGAACACACTTTATCACTATTTCTTCATCTATCAGTTTTAGAAATTGTCTACTCATTCCCCATTATAAAAACAGAGAATTCAGTCACTTACTGGAAACCTCAACTCCTCCCAGTTCTTCGCTCTCATGTCATTTTTAACTCTCCCTCGGTTACCCAGGTAACTTTAAATTACATGCCCAAACTTCTGTCCCATCAGCTTCCAAAGTACCCTCTTGACTCCCCAGTGTAATTAAGCCTTCCGTGTTTCTCACTTAGGACGTGACAATACTAATAAAAAAGTCATTTAAATGAAAATAGGAGTATGAAGAGTTAAGTAAAATTATTGCAAATATTCTGTCAATACATAACAAGCTGCTACAAGAAAATCACATTATTTTATACATAATATAGCATGAAAATATCATTATATATAATAGTATAGTATTAGGAGTTATATAGCTATTAAAAATGACAAATATCCTTAGTTTAAGGTAACTTCCAGTTTATTTTATTTTTTTAATAATTTTTATGGAGGTGAGATTCACAGACATAAAATTAACCATTTTAAAGTGAACAATTCAGTGCTGTTTGGTACATTCACAATCTTGTACAATCAATCACCATGTCAATGTGATTCCAAAAAAGTCTCACCACCCCAATGGAAACCCCACGCCCAGTAAGCAGATGCTCCCCAGGACTCCTTCCCTCCTGCCCTCGTGGACTACCGGTCTGTGTCTGTCTCCACAGATTCCCTCCTTTGGATATTTCACACCAATGGACTCAGGCCACTTTCCGTGTCTGGCTCCTTTCACTTGGCAGGTTTTTGAGGACCACCCATGTTGTAGCATGGATCAGGGCTTCCTTCCTTCCTGTGACTAATCTTCCATGTATGTATATTACACACTCTGTGTGTCCACTCATCCACTGATGGACACTTGGGCTTTTTTTCGCCTTTCGGCTACTGCAAATAAACATCTGTGTAAAAGTCTTTGTTTAAACAATTGTTTTTAATTCTTTTGGGTATTTATCTAGGAGTATTTAACAGGCCATATGGTAATTCTATGTTTGACCTGTCAAGGAACCTCAAAATGTTTTCCACAAGTGGCTGCACCAGTCTACATCCTCACCAGCAATGTACAGGGTTCTAATTTCTTCCCATCTTTGTCAACAGTTGTTATTTGGGTTTTGATTATGGTCATCCTGGTGGGTGTGAAGCCGTGTCCCATTGTGGTTTTGATTTGGATCTCCCAAATGATTAACAACTAGACACCTTTTGAGGTGTTTATTGGCCATTAGTGTGTCTTCTTCTCGGGGAGCGGAGAAAGGCCTATTCAAATCCTTTGCCTTTTTTTTTTTTTTACTGTGTTTTTCTTTTTGTTGTTGAGTTGTAAAAGTTCTTTATGTATTTTGGATCCTAGACTCTCATGAGACACCCTATCTGTGAACACTCTCCCATGTTGTAGGTAGTTTTCTTGCTCTCCTGACAGTGTCCTTCAGTGCCCAATTTGATGGAGTCCCATGTGTTTCTTTCATTGCTCGTGCTTTTGGTGCCATTCCTAAGGATCCAAAGTCATGGAGTTTCCCCCTCATGTTTTCTTCTAAGAGTTTTAGGGGTTTTGCTCTGTGTTTAGGTGGCGGCCCATTTTGTGTTAACTTTACCCACGATGTGAGACAGGAGTCCAGCTCCACTCTCTCCCATGTGGGTGTGCAGTTGTCCCGGCACTGTGGCCTGAAGAGACTGTTCTTCTCCCACTGAATAATCTTAGGACCCTTTTTGAAAATAAAACCCATAGGTGTATGGGTTTATTTCTATACTCCTAGCTTTTAAATTTTTAAATAAATTCCTATCTTCCCATCCTATAATTCTACCACTGCTTTTACCAGAGGAGATACAGTTTATAATGGCATATTAGGAACTTTTATGTCTAACTTAGAACTTTGAAATGAGAAATACACATCCATAATGAACACTCATAATTTCATTACTAAACATTCTTTTAAAAATAAATTGTTTATTTCTTTAAAATGAAATAAAATTTCATTAAACATTCTTTAAAAAATAAAAATTCTTTAAAAAAGGGATGGCGCCTAGAAGTAGCAAATGCAAACTGAAAATCAAAACCAATCTGCAAAACAGCATTTTATAAAGTAGCATGTGATTTTATTGTTACTGAAGTCATGTGTTATGACGTCATCAATTTTAACTGCCTATCCTTTGTACAGCCTTTTGTTTTACAATTAATTATGAACTTGTAGTCAGCATCTCAGTGTAGGTGTTACATGAAATGTCCTTGATGTCAGCCTGGCAAAATTAGCTGTGTAAAATTACCATGCAATTCCAAATATGAGATGGATTTAAAACTGAAAGAACGTTTTACCATCTAGGGCCTTTTATTAACATCAAACTGTCCTAACAGGAGCCACCCACTAACTGTACAACCTCTCCAGGCACACTGGGTTTAACATGCCAGAATGGCATGTTATCACTCGAAAGTTAAGATCACCCCTATTTTGGACACAGGCTGGGCATTCCTTCCAAACAGCCTTTCTCCTGCATCAGTTTGCCCAGGGAGGTCTGCACTACCATCTCCTCTTGGCTCGCAGGCCTCCAGCCGCCTAGGCCAAAGAAAACAGCCCGCTTCCCTGACCACATGTCACTACAATAGAGGCTCAGTTCCAACGCAGGTGAATAGTCTCTAAACGCAAGGTCTCTAAGGAAAACAAACCTCTGCTACAATATTCACTGAGTTCTCCTTCACAAGTTCTCTTTCACCTCAAACCCTCTGCTACCAGCTGTAAATACTGAGTGTTTAGCTTCACCACAGTTTCTTTTAGGTGCAAAAACAATTTTGTTTTTATTGACCAAAAAAAACCCCCAAAACCAACAACAACATGTTTTGCCCAGAAAACTAAGGGAGAAGAAGTTTGGGAAGTGCTGATAATGGTAATCCAGAAAACAGGTGAAGACTTTACCTTTAGCTGGCCGGTGATGTCGCGGCAGCTGACTGTCTTACCATGCAAGAGACTAAGGTTCAGGGTCAGACCAAGGGTTCTGACGTCCTGGAGACACCAAGGAAGAGACGGCCAGCCCAACCCCTCACACAGCATCCCTTCCTGGTTAATCCACGGGTGACAATGACACTGACTGGCCTCATCCTGCCAATGAAGAGCAAGGCCCTGCAGTGACGGCGCCTAGAAATGAATAGGAGTGATTGGGGATAAAAGGGGGAGGGGAGAGGTGGCCAGGATGAAGAAATGAATAAAACTCCAAATTTCTGTTACAACTCACTGTCATACCTAGTGCTCTAATATCATAATGGCAGGGGGAATGGAAAAGAAAAGAAACAAAGAAAAACTGCTACCTATTAAATTTATGCAGCATTCTAAGAATTTGGGTCTGTGCCCTACAATCTGACTACACATAACTAGAGGAAGAGGTTGATTCAATTAGGCTCATAAACCTAGAGAAAAGAAAAGAGGATTTTCATCGTCAGCAGTTCTAAATTCTGATGACTTAGTTTTACTTAGTTTTTATTACAAAAACAACTCAATGCACACTATTGAAACAGACAGTACTTACCAAACAATCCCTTGGGCTCCAGAGCCAATGGGTTTCAGCTGCTGGTAACGCTTGAGCACAGTGAAAGTTGAGTCTGCCACTTGCACACTGTAAAACTGACTATCACATTTACTGTCACTCATGATGTAGTGTCATGTGATATTCCAAAGTCTGTACGGTCGTCAGATTCCTTAAAAGAAAAAGAGAATGAATATACTTTCTTCCTGAACTTAGACACATAGCTAGCTTAATAGTGTTTCAAATTTATTGGTATATAAAACCATTTGGCTTTATAAACTGAGTTCATAAACTGAGTTCATAAACTCAGTTGGACCAAGTTCTGAACTTAAGCAACACATGAAAATTTCAAAGAGATTTCCCTAGTACAGGGCCATTATGAAAATTTGAGGCCCTTAATGACCACATTTTATGGAACTAGATTAGAAAATAACCCCCTTTGGAGAAAAGAAATTGCTTTTTAAAAAAAGATTTTATTTATTTATTTTTAGAGAGCAGGGAAAGGGGAGGAGAGAAACATCAGTGTGTGGTCACATCTTGTGTGCCCCCTACTGGGGGCCTGGCATGAAACCCAGGCATGTGCCCTGACTGGGAATTGAACTGGTGACCCTTTGGTTCACAGGCCCACACTCAATCCACTGAGCTACACTAGCCAGGGTGAAAATGCACATTTTTTCTAGCTATGAAGACTATGAGGTCTGTCGGAAAAAGTCCAACCATTGTTAGTCCACTCAACACAACATCAATGTAACCTGCAGCCAAGGAGAGTGGACCAAATGTGGGATGTGTGAACAATGACAACTTCACTGTACTAGTCTGTGGGGGTGGTAGACACCGCTAAGTGAGCATGTCTGTGAGACTGTCATATTCAAAATGACTGAGCAAGTAGAGCAACAAATCTGCACCAAATTTTGCATTAAACTTGAACATCCCTCTGCAGAAATTATTGGGATGAGAGTTTCAGAAGGCTGCAGCTAAGGGCAACTGGTGATTGGCAGCTTTATCACAACAATATGCCTGCTCATGCATTGTGTCTTGAGCAGAGTGTTTTGGCGAAATGTCAAATCACCCAGGTGACTTAACTCACCTATGGCCCAGACTTGGCACCCTGAGACTTCTGGCTTTCCCCCAAACTAAAATCACCTTTTAAAGGGAAGAGATTTCAGACCATCGGTGAGATTCAGGAAAATACACTGGGGCAGCTGATGGCGATTGGAGAACTGTGCGAGGTCCCAAGGTGCCTGCTCTGAAGGGAACAGAGGCATCATTGTCCAATCTACAGTGTTTCTTGTTTCTCGTATCTTCTTCAGTGAATGTCTCTATTTTTCATACTACATGGATGGACACTTCCTGGACAGGCCTTGCATGTCACTATGTGATTCTCATCAGCTGGCTTCCTATGGGACCAGCTTACAAGAAGCTGTCTCAGCCAGAGAGGAGGCGCTGTTTCAAATAAACATGTCTACAATTCCTTCAGAAAAACAAATGGACCAGTCTTCTTTGAAGTCCACAAATGCAGGTTAAAGTGATGAACCAGAAAGCAAGTCCTACATCAGTGTGATGGAAAGGGGGAAGCTGGAGAACAGCAGGCCGTCAGAGGCCTGGGGACGAGGGTATGTCTCGCCTGCTCACAGGAGTGCTCCTGTCTGGTAAGAGTGGTCAGGAGATGTCCATGTCCCTGCACCCACATCACTAGAGGGAGACCAGTAACACGGACGCCATGATATTCACTCATGCAGCCTGAGTATAACCTGGCAGCCTGGGAGCAGCCTTCCCAGACTTTGGGCAGAGGCTGAGAGGCTGAGATGCCCAGTCTGCAGGAGCCCACATGATTTTACATAGAAATCGTCAGGTCACTGCTCTTATTTTCACAGTTCCCTGGCTCTTGTTTGGTAATGTTTACTAAAATGTCAGGATGCTATTTAGGTTTATCCTTTTCTTAAAAAAAGGTCAAGAATTAAATCATATAGTTGAACATTCTATACTGTTTAAAATTATAGAATTTAAATTTTATTCTATTCCACCAGGAAATTCCTGCCTGTTTGCTGTAGGATCTAATATTTAATGTCTACCCACTGAGTAATTTAGAGTGATGTCTAGGATTTCCATTAAACATGAAAGTAAGTTGACTGATGACAAGTCTAAACAAGGAATTTGAATCAAGTGAACAGTCTCTCCAAGTGACCACTGGTTCATGTTCTTACTGTCCTCAAGCAGCGGCTCAGACACAGCTGTCAGCACCACCAGCCTCTGCAAGTGAGAGCCTTGCACCCCGCCAGGTGCACCTTGGGGAGGCCAACCCTGCACACAATGCGATGAGCCACCACACCTCTCATGACACTGCAGTGGACCAAGTCGAGCTGCTGCGGGGAGGGTCCCCGAGCTCCAGGAGGGTGGGGGCAGGCCTGTCTTGCTCACCCAGGCTTCCCACACTCACAGGACACTCAACAGACCTTTGTTGATCTAACCCCTAACATAGTATCTGATGGCTTCCTCATAATGTTGCTCCATTTTACTGGCATCTTGAAAGAATATCCTCTTCTAAAGATTCATTTATTCATATAAGTCCCACTCAACATTTATGGGGTGCCTTTCACAACAAGTCATGTAGGAGATACACAGTAGCAGCTAGGAACCAGTCTTGAAGCAGCATGGAGCTCACAACGGGGAGGGAAGTGTGAGGAGTGCATCTGCTACCCATATTGTAATAAAAGCTACAATGAGGTGAGGCGAGGCCATGAGCAAAACGTAACCAAGTGAAGAGGCTCTACCCACAGGTGGGAGTGTAGAAGACAAGGAAAGCTTCCCCGAGGAGGTGGCATCTGACCTGGACTGTCTCCCCAGAGGCAGACAGTGGAGGCACAGGGCTTGAGCTGACTGCTCAGACATGGTGAACTGCTCAGCTGAGCTAGTCAGGTACAAATACAAAGGTTCAGAGACGGACTTGGCAAAAAGGCAGGCAGCCACTTCGACCTGCTATTTCTCTGCCACACTGTAAGACATCAGTAACGCTGGTCATTCACGAAGCATGTCCTCTGTGGGCAAGGTCCTGTGCCGGAGCAGCTGGTGTGGCTATCCTCAGCGAGCTCACGGAGAGTGCACACTGTGGGCATGCTCGCAAAGAGACATGGGGCCAGAAAAGCCCTAAACCCAGGAGCGTGGAGCAGGAGTTTGGGGTGCAGGAAGAAAAATAGCGTGTGCAGAGAGCTGGAGATGATGCCTCTGAGCATGACAAGTCATTTGAGATTTAGTTTTGCTGGGTAGTGGGGGAAAGAAGCTGGAGAGAGAAAATGAGGCCTGGTCGCCAGGGGCCCAGCCGCTGCTGGGAGCTGCTTGGGCCTGGGCCTGAGGGCTGAGGACTGAGGACTGAGGGCTGTGAAGCCTCCAAAGTACATGAGGCTCGTGCTCTGACCTGCTCTTCAGGGAGCTCCTTTGGGAAGCTGAGCAAGGGGTGGATTTGAGTGGGCAGGACGGAAGACGAAGAGACCTGGCAAAAGTGACTGGGTCTTGGCAGGTGGCGGAAAACAGATGCATGGTCTGGAAGAAGAGTGTACACAGCTCACTGCCCTCAGAGGAGACCGGTGAAATGAGGAGATGCCTTTGGAGGTAGGCAGGAGACCCAGCAGAACCTGTGAGTTCAGCCTTGGGGCCTGAAGCACCTGCGGAACAAGCAGCATGAGAGGCACGGGCTCCTAAGGCACTCCAGGACCCCTCCTCCTTTCTGTGCTTCACTGACAGCAGCTTTCCTGTCCCAGCTGGACGAATGGCTGCCTAGCGAGAGACAGCATCTGGCTGCTTTCCTGGTAGCCAGGTGTGGCCAGTCACTGACTTTTAGCTAATGAGATACAAGCAGAAGCAACGTGCGCCACTTCCAGGCCCTTTTCTAGCAGACAGCTGTGTGCAGACCAGTCTGCCTCTCCTCCCTGCTGATGGCTGGGGGATGAGTGGTCACAGACTGGGAGGCAGAAGTCACAAGCTAGAGCCCCCACCAGTCAGTGTTCCACATGATCTGGTGGCATAGAGACATCCCCACTTCTGGTCTACCTGCCCACACTGAGACTGGCACAAATTGATCCCGACCTTATTGAGCAAGTGGGGGACTCTCTCTGCTATGGCTGTTGTAACAATATTAGGTTAGCTTTCATGAGTTTTGGGAATACATTACATCATTAGGTTCAAGAATTATTAAAATAATTTCATCTCAAGATATAAAATAATTTTAAAATTAAAATAAGTTGTCCTTCTTAGTCAGGAAGAAAAGCGCCTAAGAGAAAACCCATTGGAGCTACCTTCTCTGTCAAACTCCGGCCTCGTGAGCACAAGGGAAAGAACCTCCACATGACCCGAGAAAATGTGTAATTTAGTTATTAATGAAATCAACTCTGCTGCAATTATATTTCAGCAAAATGGATATCAACAGGGTTTTAGAAAGCAGTTTACAAACTGCAAAGTGTAAGAATTCCTCATGCAACCTTGTTGAAACACACTGAAGCTACACTCGCTGCCTCCATGTCCCTCCCTGGACGCTGGTTCTTTACCTCACTCCCAGCAGTGGGCCCTGGGGCCCACCAGGCCAGGAGCACCTCAAGAGCAGGGAGACCCAGTCTTCCCTTTCCTACAGCATCGCTTGATACACTTAAGGAAATGTCCAAGGCCCACAGATGATCCACTGACAAAGGCTTGGGGACATGCCCTGCTCCTGGGTCTCTCCAGACCTGAGTGCTATAAGCAGATGCCCAGAGGGAAGGAGTTAGCATGGCCTTTGCTGAAGGCTCTGGCCCCCGCCTATGGCCTTCCCACTTTCCATGCTGCTTCCTGAATGCTTATTGAATAACATGCTCTCATCCCAAATCTCTATTTCTCTAAGACTGGGGACTCTTGTAGAATCCCCTCCAACTAGAGGAGTAAACTCTACCCAGTCTATAAATACATACTGGTGGGGAGAGACATTGCTACCTGCTTAGAACCTAGAGTAAGAAATGCTATTCTAAAAAAAAAAACTCTCCAGCTCTAATATTCTTCTGAGTATAAGCACTTTAGGTACTATCAACATAATATTGAATCTCTGGCTACTTTTTACAAATTAAAAAAATTGCTCTAACTAAAGCTTGCAGAACATACAGTCCCAGTCTCATGGGAACATCAGCTCTACTCACTGAGTTTTCTCAATGC